ATGATAAACCGCAGACGGAGACTTCTTGACTTTGGCGTTCTATGGCAGCTGCGACTACTTCTGCCGCATTGTTGTCCGTCTCCACCGTCTGTCAGTCTCACAGTCTTTTCTTCTCGCTATTTTCATTTCACAGCCCAGCGCACAAGTGCAACATCCTCCGCCCCCTTCCACCAATGCCAGCAACCACCATCATGTTGCTGCCACTGTTTCTCTGCATTTATCAGTTGCCATTGTGTTTGGCTATTTCCTCTTGTTGCAGCTGTGTGTTGCCCGTGCGATAAGACCCCAAAATCGCGTCCCAAGCTGCCAGTTGGATGGTACCTTCTGTTGAACATCAAGTGCACTGTTGAAATGACATCATAATTTTCATATATAAAATATGTCCAAGCTAAAAAGGTTTTAAAACTTATATAACTTAAGTATAGCAAGATGTAACCTACATAATTAAACGATTGATAATAACAATACTATAGAAAATAGAGCATTCAAAAGCTATGTATTATATTTTTGATGATATCTTTCCCAAGCATTGTCAAATGAGGAAAATGTCAGATGTTACCCGTACTTGTGCGAATTTTCCGAATATTTAAACTTAATTCAATTTAAAGAGGAACAAAACAAAAATGCAAATTTTACGAGGCGCTATGAAGCTTATATATACACTTATAGACTCAAAGAACTAAGCTGTCCAGCTATTTTAAATTAATAATAATTCCTAATAGAAAGTAATTTGAAGTATGTCAGCATAAGGAAACAAGAAAATTGATAAAATATTGAGTTGCTTGTTACTTGTTATTTTGAAAAATAATCAAATTAAGCTGAAACTAAAAAGACAGCAGAGAAATATGAATGTGCGAAGCTATGAGAAAGTTGATAATCTTGAGAAAACAAAAAATATTACGGAAGAGCTCAGCAGTTTTTAAGAAAATAAAGAAACATAAATAAATATTACATATTTTGCGAATAAGGGAAACGACATCCGAAAAAATTGATTGTCATATATATATTTACATTGTTTTTAATTTCACGCCTAATACTTTTAATAAATAAAGCTTGACATAAATAAAATATGAATATTCACGCATCGCACCGCATAGTCAAATCTTTTGCTACAGCTTGTCAATTTATGACGCATAGGCTGAAAAAAAATTAAAATTAATCAATTTTTTAATAACGATTAAGTCTTTTATACAAAAGTTTTTTTCATTTACAATCGCCAAGGCTTTTTAATTAGTTTTATGCTACAGCAACATAAAGACAGCACAGCATAAATTAACAGAGAGTGCAAGACCTCAGGGAGGCGACCGGAGGGTACGTCAGGCCCTGAGCTTAGCCGAGGCAAAACTGGTTAAAAGAAAAAGAGAAGAAGCAGAAACAAGCAAGCTTTACAATTAAGCATTGAGCCCAACTGTGTTTGTGATTGCAACTACTAGAATTTTCCTTTGGCTGACTGTAAATAACTTCAGGCTAAGGTTGGCAATTCTTTATTATTATTTAAATTTTTTTCTTTTCATAAATCACCTGCGTTAAATGATTTTCCAATTGCATCATGCGGCAACCAGCCTAGCAAGCTTTGTACAATGAAAACGATAAACAAATTGTCATCCAATGCCTTCAATGCATATAAGCTATTAACAAACCGTTCATCAGCTTAACGGCCCAAGGTCGTTGAGGAGGCTTCCTCATTAAATGTAGTCATTAACCGAAAAGAAACCCAAAAGATCTTCAAGGTTCGCTCACTAAATTAACCATTTGCTTAAAAAAAAAAAAAACGGTGCTTAAGCACACATGGCATAAATTATACCGAAAATTACAAAAAAAAATCAACTGCATATATTGGTGTGATGTATTAAAAATATTAAATTAAAAAAATAATGCTTCGATACGGTAACCTTGAAGAACAATAAACAAAATTTGCTTTTTGTATACTTGTCTTTAATGGGGAAAGAGTCAATAAAGTTATACGTTTCTTATTTAAATAGCCGCACCTAGAATTTTTAAGTTTGTAAGACTTAAAACATTGTATTGTTTTTCATTAGTTAAACTTTGGGACTCATTAAAATCGCATTATTTAAAGGCCGATAATAATTAAATGGAGCAGCTAGCAAAACGTTTGCAAATGCAACACAAAGCAGAAATAAACAAGAAGTAATTAATAATACTTTAAATAATAATTAATACGTAGGCCCTGAACGTAAAATTGATCGTGCTTACTTTAAATTACGATAATAATAATAATGAGTAAACAAACAAAAGCGCTGCTGCCTAGTAAAAAGGGGGCAAACAAGTGAGCATTTAGTCAGTCGGTCAGTCAGCCAGTCAGTCAGCAAGTCAGTCAGTCATTTCGTCATTATTTTCAATAAATGTACATGTAACAGGCAAAATAAATATGGCAAATTGAAGTGGGCAACATTAACAGCCGTAGGCCACCACAAAAAATAAACAAACACACACACACAACGCAATGCGCATGCGCAGCACGCAATGTCAAAAGAGAGCCCAAAGTTGTTGCTAAAGCCACTGCCAAAAGCAAAGCCAAGGTTGTTGTTGTGTTTGTTGCCATTGCTATGGATGTGGCTGTTGAGCTGTTGTGGCTTCAAGTACAACAACGCTCAGTCAGCCAGTGTACGAGCAAAGTTATGTTAGCGCCATAAATAGTTGGAGTCAAGCATACAAAGTGGAAGCAGCTGATGTTTAATTGCAAGTTGTAAAGATGCTTTGGGTGGGTCCAATCAAAAACTTTACAAGGAAGTCAATTGAAAGCCACAAAACGAGGGTTCAAGGCAATAACTCTTAATGATTGCTGCAGGCGAATTCATAGATCGTGTGAGCATGGATCTTGTGAATATAATTCAAATACTCATCTTTAGCTGCAGTGCGAAAGTGCAAATATATGCTTTTAGTGCTCTTAAGTTTATGGCTCATAAAAATCTAAATTTATAATAGAAAATTCTAAGCAATTTATATGTGAGATTAAACATAAAACGAATTTCTATGCCTCGTGTGTTTTGTCCGATTAGTCATAATCAACTCGTAGAGGCAAACATGACCATTATATCTAACTATTATAAACAGTGCTCAGTTTTTAAGCCATTACGAGCACAATATCATTTAAAGCGTGCTGGAACACCTGCACAACAGTCTTTTTAATGCCAAAAGCATTTCCCAGAAGTACTTAAGATTAAGTAGAAAAGCGCCACCACCGAGCACCGCCGAACAACGCCGCAAAGGCCGCACAACTCTAGCATTATTTCTCATATCAGCAATTTGATTTATTGAGCCGCAAATGCAAAGACCTTGCCCAGCAATCAGACAGACAAACCAGAGACATCAAAATCATGTTGAACACATGGACGCACTTAAAGCTGAGGACCAACAGCCGGAGGAGCTCTCCCATCGTCTGCCCAACATGTGAGTAAAAGCCGGCAGTAGATAGGCGCACCAAAATGGGCTCAAAGTGACAAGAGTATAAAGCTTTAATGGCAAAGAAAAACGAACACTGAAATTGTCACATTTCAGTCGCGGTTCGCAAAGCGCAAATGCACCTTTAGACAGTGACTCTTTCATATGAATCTTAGCAGGGGTATATGGGTTGCTTGACTATAAAAATACTCTCTTAATAGTCATATTGCAGTTATCAGATGCTACAAAATTAAATCTAGTTAATTATGCCATCAATTCTAAATTAACAAGCAAACTAACTAAGATCTCAACCTACTTGACTTACTACCATAAAACTAACATATTCCATTACTATTCTTTTGTGTTGCTAAATTATTATGTTGAATATATATCATACATATTAAAATTCGTTTTTTAAACCAAATAATATATGTATAAATGAATAAATCTCAAAAATTAAATTTTCCATTCAGTAATGAATATACCCTTTCGAGAACATTACAAGGTATAATACAGGAGACATCCATTCCAAAGCAGTCGAATGTGGTATCAGAAAAAATGTTGTGTGGGTCAGAGATACACTATAGTATTTGGAAACAGAAAGAGATGGAGAGTAAGAGCAGGAGAAGCAAGCAGCCAGAGATATGAAAGATCGTTCAGATAGGCATTCGCTTCGACACGCAAAAGGCCACTTAGGCCAAAAATGTAGCATCGCCTGCCCGCTAAGATAGCAGACGGACGACATTTAGATGATATGATAGATTAAGCGCTGCTATGTTGCATTATCGGATGAAATTCTCGCGCGTGACAGGCGTTGCAATGCTATCGATTACCGCGGAGATAGCCAGCTGCAAGGTATTTATAAAATGTACGCCCTAGATGGACACTCATTAAGCCGTCTGTCCCTATGCCCTGGCATGGCAAATATACTTATAAATAGCCAGGCTATGACTAAAATGAATGCCATGGACGGGGGGTCAGTACACGGGGCTGTCATTAATGGCGCCGCTTGTTGGCCCACAAAAGAGGTTTAAGTATATACAGCTAAAGCAAACGAGTTTTCGGTTTCGGCTAGTCTTCAGTACGCGGTTCTTGTTTCTTGGTTCTTGATTCTTGGCCAGCGCACGCCTTTCGAGGCGGTGGCACATAACTCTCTAAATGCTGCTGTAGCTACCACAAAGCAGATCCAGGCATGGAAGCTTAAAATTCATTGCAATTAGCAAAAATAAAACATAGGCTAGGATCCAATGGGACTTATAAGGAAATGAATCTGTCGGCATATCGATTCCCACCTGATTTTTCACGCTGTCTCGCGTTGATTTAAAATCCCAAATAAGTAATTTTTTATTTTAATTGGCAATTGGAAGCTCTTTCGAAAATATAAAAACTTAATAAGAAAAGCAAACTTTGAATAAATAAACAAATCACATTTTTGTAAAGTTAATCATTTATATTTGAAAATATTCAAAAGGCTTTCACATACTCATTTGGTTCTCTATTGAAAGAATCAAATGAAAAGTACTCCTGAAACATATTGTTGCAAGCCTCACTTTTTTTTATTGTTTCTGCCTTATGGTTGATTATTTGTATTTGTATTTATTTTACGCTTGTGGTTTTCTACTCACATGTTTGTCGATTGTTTGCTAAAAGAAATTCCATTTTATTTTAATATTGCCAGCTATTTTTAGTCAGATTTTTGGCTTAGTTTTATTGTGAAAGTGTAGCATCACGATGTTTGTGGTAGACGAGATTCAACAGCAAATAACTGCACGTCATTCGGACCATGACGCGAAGCGAGCGGAACGCGCCGAGGAATACGAGTATACAAATATACTGCGTATAGATTTGCAGATTTGATAGACATGCCCCTTGATATGCAGGCATGCGGCAAACTACACAACAAAACGGCGGCAAATTGAATTTTGTGTACAAGAATTGAATATTTAAAGAATCTAAAAGATATCAACACAATTTAACTCAATAAGATGAGCATTGTTTCTCATTGGTAAGCTTTAAACAAATTTTCTTGGGATTTGTCTATTATAATATTTAACATGAAGGCACATTCAGTTTACTTTCAGCCGCACATATCACAATGCAAAATTACAAACTTAAGTTGATTACTAACAATTTTTGTGGGTATATGAAATGCCAAGGAACGACGTTTTAACCCATAGATATTATATTTAGCTATGTATATTATAAGTGCATGAGAACTTGTAAAATCATGTAACTTGTATCAATATCGCACTTCTATATTATAAATCAGTTTGAAAAGAATTGAAATGATAACAACATGAAAGCTTAAATGGCACATTATTTTCAACAAACTTAACATTTATGAGCGTGACTACTCCCTTTCTGTAACGCCGTATCTACGCAATATGCCTTTTATGTCAAAAAGGGGATTAAATCTTCGGCGTGCCTTTGTTCATAAGAGATAAAATATCTTAATTTATTTTCTTAATAAATTGATTGAACTGCAAATACTACTATTTGTGCTAAAACATTTAGTCCATGATTTGATTATTTAATAACAGAATAAACTACTTGTTAACTTCATTTAATTGCACATTTATTTGCGCTTCTCGAATTGTCGCTAAAAGATTTCCGTACAGAGAGAGACACACTCAAAACAAAGACCACAAAAATTATTTAATATTCGTAATTGTTGTATAAGTTGCAGTCGTGTTTACTAACAAAACAAAAGGCGCACACAATAGTAAAATCATTGCCGTCAATTTGTTGCAACTAATTGCAAATGCCTAGGCAAACAAAAGACAGCCAGCGACGACCTTTGGAGTAAATATTTGTATTTATATAAATATATTTTTTTTCAGTTTGTTTTCCTTCATCTACCATACAGAAATTTAATTGTGCAAACAAAAGTTGGCCAGTGTCATCTCCGGCGTCCCAGCTACCCAACCAACCTGCCCATTCAACTCTTTTTTTTTTTCTTTGTATTCGTTGAATTCTCTGGTTATATACGCTTAATTGCTTTCGGCTGTGCCTTTTTGTTGTTTTGTGGGTAGTTGGCAGTTGGTTTGCCGGTTGGTTGGAGGGTTTGTTGGCTTTTCGGCTACTTCCTACTCGTGGCTGTTTGAACTCTTGATCTTTCAAGGTTACGACAGCACCTTGGCGTCTTTTAGGCCATTATCTTTTTAATAACATCTTATACAACGATTTTCAACTGCCTCCACATTCATATCGTATATGTGAGTAATATTGTAAAAAAAGAAAAGAACAACATCACGAACTTAATTACCACGCACGTCGGCAATCAGTTTTTGTAATTTTAATTTTAATTTTTTTTTTTATTTTTTTGTGGGAGATCTTTAAGAATTCTGCTGCTACTCGAAATGAATGGACATTATGCAAAAATGTGGGCGTCCACCGGGTTAACACCCACAGTTAACGCTTAATTTCGGCCACTGACAGCGTTACGTATACTTAACATAAAAAGCAGCAAATAGCGAAAACACAGCTTGTACGAATTTGCAATACGCTTACAAACTTATTATGATGGTACCTATAAAAAATATTTATGTTTTATATAATTTATATAGTAATTTTTTTTATATTTATATAAGACATACCAGAAAAGTTAAAAATACAACTAAAATTGACATCTTGGTATATAATCCGATGTTGATAATTTTTAATTGTAGAGCTTGTAAATACAAAGTTTGGTTTCGGTATCAAGAATAATGAGAGCTATTTCGACAAAGCTATAGATACTGATCAAGAATATATTTACTTACGGTTCGGATGCGATTCCCCTCCTATGCGTTACATATTTGGTGACAACATAACAATACCTTCTGTGAGAGTATGAATAGGTTTATGGAAAAGAAATTTGCATAGTGTGTGCTAAGAGAAATAAAAAGGAAAACCCTCGAACAGAAAGCAAAGTTAAAGTCATGTCGAGAGAAATCTGAGCAAATGAAGTAAAGGTGTCAAGAACTTTATTGACAGGCTTCAAGCTGCTTGGCAAACACAACGTAATGCTGGTAAAAAAGTTTACACAATAAAAACAACAGAGACCAAAATGCTGAAACCCTGGACCGACCCCGAGCCCTCCCTCATGTAGGAAGCCGATGAAAGCAAATAAAACAAAACAAACTGAAAACGTGACAGGCAGCAAGCGTCCCAATAACAACAACAACAACAACACCAACCTAAACATGATGACAAAAACAAAAAATATTTTTGCATTGACAAATGAGCTACGTGAAAGTTTTTCACAACTCCTCCGGCCAATGGACGACAAAGTGCAGGCCGCTGGCTCAGCACTGTGGGGCTTAGAGGATCTGGGGGCATTGGGGGCTGACTGAGACGAACAGCTGCAAAATCGAAACCGAGTAATTAGCACTTATTGAGATCAAAGTCAAGTGAATCCGCTCAGCAATGCGAACTAGTTTCGCGCACAGCTCGTGTGGGCAGCGAGAGGTCGACACACTTTTCGCAGTCACTGTCAATGGCAAGTAAATAGAGCAGAGCAAATAATATCAAACATACTCATAAAGCTGAGTCTGAGCTCGGTTGGAGCATAATTAATGTGCATATGCCACATAGAAAATGAGAGAAACAGAGATTGCAAGAGACAGAAACAGAGACAGAGAGAGCGAGAGCGAGAAGAGAGAACCTGGGAAAGATAGAGTACAGGCGTTCAATACTTGCCCTAAACTGCAATTGGTTTTGCATGCCAAAGTGTTTCAGCTCGGGTAACTCTTTACACAGCAAACATTACGCACAGTTGGGCTATAGCCGATTCTGTATGCTCTATATATACATGAAAACAAACAAGATAGGTATAATCGGGCGTGTGCGACTAGGTGATACCCTGTATACTTCGCCGAACTACCAGTACAACTATAGCTTCTAGAAGATACTAGCTTCCTTGAGGTTCATTTGTAAATACATCCCAACAATCCTTACAGTAATAAAATTTATATATTTTCGATTAGTATATATATAGATAAATGTAGTCTAATAAATTAACAAAAACAAACATAATAAATTATAGAAAAAAGACCATTATCTTCTTCGGGAAGGAAAATAACCTTTTTTTTTGCATACGTGTTATCCTTTATATTTCTTTCTATATGTTTAAAGGGTATTTGACAGTCGCACTCAACTTCACAAATTTCTGTTTTAGCATTTTCCACACGGCTACTGCACAGAAACTCATTTGCAATTGACACCAGCGGCAGTCGGTTGCAGTTGCAGTTGCAATTTGAGGAGAGGTGTGCGATGTGAGGTGATGGCGGGTGGTGCTCGCAATAAACGTCAGAGCCAGCTCTGGTATCCAATACAGACGAAGAAAACGTGTGCCGCAAAATGTCACTCTCATTTAAGCGACATGGTAGTATGTGTGTGAGGCAGGAGAAAGCGTTGGCCAGTTGCATGTGGCACTCATTTGCGGACGAATGTCAACGTGCCGCTAATTAAGGTTAATCAAAATGACAGTATAAGCAGACCCAAGCAAAATGAATGGTTATAAAGTGCAAGCGATGCGACGCCCGCGAGACATTGATTAACGAGGTCGTCAACCAAATGCGGCAGCAGATGAGATTTGGCCAAACAACTCGCTAACTGTATGAACACATAAACTAATTGTGTGGCAAAACACCAAACAAAATACAAATGAGCTGTGCATGTGTGCATGTGTGCATGTGTGTGTAACTCTAGGCTGATAGTTGTGACCAGCTTGTCTTGCCTTTTGTGGCATCGTTTTATTTGCATAGCCAGGGGAGCTACAGGAGGAGAACTTTACCGCATGCTGCCTGTCAAACTGTCGGCGCTTGAAGTTTTGCACGCACAGTAACGCAGCCCGCCCCAACTGCCGCACCCCCTCCCCCCCTTCAGACCCAGTCAATGTCTTTTCTCATAAATCAAAGCGCCTCGCATTGTCAGCACTAAATGAGTCATTTACTCTTTTTTTCGATACCCTGTGTCTATAGAAGTAAATAATAAAAAAGGGTATAAATGCAATGTGGAATGTATGTAACAGCTAGAAGAAGAAGACACTCCGCTTCCATAAAGACATATTAATCTACCCATGGCTGTCTGTCTATCTGTACGAAGGCATCGTCAGAGATAAGTTATCCGAGAATTACATTTCGTATAAGATATTTGGTTTATTTCTAAGAATCCATTTTCAGAGGGTATCTCTTGAGGTATCTTCGAGTCGGGCACTTCCCAATGAAGCACTTGTTGTCTTCTTCTTTTTTTTTTGAGTGAGGTTTTGTCTTTGAAGTTTCAAGCGAAAATCAAATAATGCGTTGCCTAATTAGAGCCGCATAACTGCGGGGCTTCGAGTTGACGGACAATTTCAGACAATTAAATTCGCGACTTTGAAGGGATTAGGATTTCCGTGAACGCAAACACTTAATATAATAATCCAAATTGTTTATTAGCTTACCTGAATTGGTTAGCAAGTTGCTGCAAAGAAGAGAAGAGTCCAGAATGAGATTAAATTGTTTGCAAGAAGTAAATTCTACTTTTTAATTATGTGCAGCAAATATATCTGTCAAAAGATAGTTTATATAGAATATTTTATACATTGGTACATTATGTTTGAAGTGAATTTTTGAATGTTTAGATACGTTTTAATATGAATCATATGAAATTCATTCGTTTTTTAATTAATAACTCTATATTTCGAAATCTGAATGTAAAGAATTCAAAAATTCAAATATCCAGATTTTGAGCAACGTTAATCTTCATAATTTTTTAAATTTTATTATAACTTAACACATTGTCTCTTATTTAAATTTGAAGTCTTAAATAACAACATGCTATGGATGTATTTTATCGGGTTCTTTATAAATTTAAGATCAATATCAAAATATTTTAAGAAGATATCAACGAGAACTTTCTTTGTTTTTATGCTTTCTAATCCCTAATAAATAATTCCAGAGGGTTAAGGAACACTTGCATACTATATACTGCTCTTTTTGTTTACTTTTACGAATTCCTTTTCGGACTTCTTTTCATGCTCGACTCATTTGCTCGCCTTGGGCAACCTTTGCCCACTTTTTGCACACGCTGCACATTTTCCCTTTTACCTCTCGAGGTAACTAACGCTGAGCGTGTCCCGTGGGCATTATTTATGCAGGCACTCATCTCGTCGCGTTTCGCTTTTATTTTTTTTTTTGTGCTGCTCTTCTCGGGCTTTGTGATTTTTTTAACGCATTAATTTTTGAACAGTGCAAATGCGACTAAAAAACGCATACTTTGAAGTTTGCCTTCTCGCATTTTGTCGAAAGTGCAATGTGCATAGATTCTTCCTTGCAGGAC